ATTATCTCGTTGTCGTCCCTGCAAACTTTCGATATTCTCGCTGTACTGTACGTAAAACCTACTTTGTCTGTTCATTTTGAGCTGTTAGACACCCTAAAAACCAATTATCAAATTCCTCCAGAACCCTCACCATTAAACTTTCGAAGCCGTTCAACCCTAAGCCCTAAAATCACATAAAAACTTTTACAGGAAATGCTTAAGATGGAGGAATTAAGGTTAATATCGGCGCCTTAATCATTAGAATAGGGTTGTGGGGTATATTATGCGATAACTTTCATAAGGACCTCCCAAAATAGTGTTGATAACTATTTAGGCTCCTATATTTGAGTGAAAGTCCCTTTGGAGTCTCCGGGCGGGTGGGTTATGTAGGTCCGCGGCACATCGTCCACGCACTGTGGGTCCACAAGCTCAGGGCAATCACAGACCTCGGAAAGCCATTCTGGGGTTCAGGGCTTAGGGCAATGAGTGTAGTTTAGGGTTTAGGGTTTAGGGTTTAGGGGTTAGGGTTTAGGGTTTAGGGTTTAGGGTTTAGGCATTGAGCTTCGGATTCTTTGTGCTCTGTAATGGACATTGGAGTGTTAGATAAAGGGAGGGCCTTTTGTGCTCCCCAAGAGCTTTAGATAGTCCTAAAGGTGTTTGCAATGGCACAGGCTCTAATGTATTTTCTACGGGTTCTTTAACAGAGGATTCTTAACACTCGTACACAGCTTTGTGGGCTGAGCAGGTTTTCTGTAGGACTTCGACACAGGCTCTTACAGGGTCGTAGCAATGCTATCTTGCTGGTCCAAGGTGTTAGGGTTGAGGGCTTGAGAATTTTTCTTTGGAAAAACACGAATGTGGGGTTTAGCGCAAGGGGTGGGCCGTGGAAGTCTTGTAAGGTCGAGACCAAGGATGCTTACTTAGTAATAGCAGAGCCTTGCAGGCTATATATATATATATATTTACACACATACAACCATGCCAAATTGACCCGAAAACCCTAGCCTAATTACTAAGGGCCCCATAAGCCCGGGTTAAAAAACCTCCTGCAAGGAACCTCAAAGGAGCCCATTAAGGAACCAAGCAGCAAAGGATTCGGCCCCATCCACATCGTACCCAGGCCCACGATCGCACAAAGACGGCTCCACCAGACCCTGGGCATTTAGTGCTTATAGGGCTTAGCTTGCAGCTCGGACTTTCGGGGGTGTATTTAAAGGTTCCGTGAACTGTGCAAGGGGAAGGGTTTGCAAGTATATGGTGTTATACGGGATTGAACGCTTTCGGAAAGGAAATTGGCGTCGTTTGGGGGCCCTGAACCCTAGACCCTAAACCCTAAACCGTCTAAGGTAGGGGTTTGGAGGTTAGAGTGCCCCTGCTGAACGCTGCGAGGCCTTACGGCGCTGCAACAGCAAAGGCTGAGGTTTAGGGTTTAGGGTTTAGGGTTTAAAACTACCTATAGTCTCCATTGTAGTTCCTTTTTTTGGTTAACCAAGTTTATGGTTAGGATCCTATAATATAAATTTGGTTAACCACAAAAAGGAACTACAATGGAGACTATAGGTAAGGTCTCGTCACCCATGTAGAGTTCAGAGAAGCTTTTTGCACCATGGTGGATTAGTATAGGGACCCCAGCAATTACGATAGGGTTTTGGGGTGATCAACACCGAAACCATGCTAAGGAAGCCGGACTTGAACGGTACTAAGTAGTAGTTACTCAGGCTTCTTGTAATATAGGGGCCTGAAAATTAATTACCAATACTATTGTTTTGTTTTTTTGGGGGGGGTGGTCTTTATTATATTTATAGTATAAAGTACACCCAAAACCTATTCCAATTATTAAGGCCCCTACATTCATATATAATCTATCCCGAAACCCTATTCTATCTATTAAAGTCCAAAAGGGTGCCGAATCTCACCCCGGAAGAATGCGCATGGCGTCAGCTGCTGAGCCTCTCTGGGAACACGTCAGATTGGGTAAGGGTCTCGGGTGTGGGTTTTGGGTTTAGGGCTTAGGGTTTAGGGTTTCGGGTTTCGGGTTTCGGGTTTAGGGTTTCGGGGTTTAGGGTTTGGGGTTTCGAGGTTTAGGGTTTGGGGTTTAGGGTTTAGGGTTGGGGTTCCAATCAGAGCCCCCCAAAAACTAGACGGTTTAGGCTCAGGGTTTAGAGTCCAGGCTTGAGTTTAAGACTTAGGGTTCACTGAAACCCCCGGAACCTGAAGCCTGATATTCTACGATTTCGGGTTAAGGGTCTACGAGTTAGGTTTAGGGTTAAGGGTTTAGGAGTTAGGGTTTAGGGTCTATTAGTTTGGGTTTAGGGCCTTTAGGGTTCAGTGAAAACCCAAAACATTTGCTTCGTTGTCCAGTATCCTGGGGACACTAATGGGACGATACGAATTTTCATACCTCCACACAGGGTTAGAGGTTGCCTACTCTACCTGTTGGGCCAAAGCACCATCTAAATCAGGTCCCAGTTCCTTCCCGCCGAAACGTGAACATCATCACATCTCCTTTGCACGCCATCTTTGGCGTAAGCGTTGCGCAATACTTTGAGCTGAGTTCATAGGCTACACAATGAACTCTACTGACGACGGTCTCTTCGGATCACTCAGTATTTCGGCAAAGGCTGCACACATTTCAAAGCTCGAAGCGCAAGAGAAGCGACGTGCCAGCTGGCCTACTGCTGTTGCACACGAAGGAAATTTGGCCATCAGCTATAGCTCCGGCCCGGTTCCTGCAAAGCTGCATGCAGGTGAAACCATCACGTAGAAAGACCCTGGCGGTGCATGTCGGAGCCACAGCAACCCGACCATGTAAGACAGCAGCTGACGTCCAACCCGAACCCCTGCAACCATACTATCATGTAGGGTTTGTAAGCTGCAAACCCTAAAACCCAAACCCAAAACCCAGCCGTAGACTTAACACTGAAGACCACAGGTATGTAGGTGTCAGCAGTCTGCTTCGGGGATGGTGGGGAGATGTTCCGCTCCGTAGATGTACGCTGCAGGAGCCAACAGCGTGCCTCCCCGACCCACTTTGCACACATTGGCCACAGACTGTATTCACATGCACAGAAGCACAGGTATAGATGCAGAACCGAGTGCATGCATGCATGCACGCATGCATGCATGCATATATATGTGCATACATACATACATACATACATACATACATACATACATACATACATACATACACACATACATACACACAGACATGCATACAGACATGCATACAGACATACAGACAGAGAGGCAGACAGACAGACAGACAGACAGACAGACAGACAGACTGACTGACTGACTGACTGACTGACTGACTGACAGACTGACAGGCAGACATCCATGCATGCATGCATGCATGCATGCATGCATGCATGCATGCATGCGTATGTACAAATATATGTACACACATACGTACATACACATGAACATATACACAGGCACGAGCACAGATATATAGATGCTTGCATAG